TCCCACCAGTGCCGAGAGTCACCTGGTGTCTTGACACTAAGGGTGGTCTGAGCAAAGGCCTTCACTTCCAGAGCTCCGAAAGCGCCACAGGCTTCCTTAACAAACTGCTTCACCTCCCACAATCAAACATTTTATGGACCAACTACGTGCAGAGCCCCTGTCTAGAGAAGCCCTGAGAGCAAGCCAAGAGTGAGGACAGTGCGCGCAGCAGCTCCTACAGAGCGACCGCCGTCTCCAGGTCACGGCCAAGTCTGCCTTCAGGCCGGGGACAAACCTCTCATTCAGCTCAAAGCCGCTGGGAGAGCTGGCGGCGTCCGCCCTGGCTGCTCAGGATGCGCGGCTCGAGTCAGCGGCACCAATCACCTCGCCAGGCCAGGGCCGCACACGTGCTGGGTCTTCCCCGGAGTGGCCCTGCTGCTGGCAGCGAAATGTGCCTGTCACCCCCTACCCCGTGCACCTTCATACCGTCAGGCTGGCCAAGCGCGGTCGGCCGGGGTCGGCCCGGGTCGGCCAGTTCCATCCCCACGCACAGAGGAAACGGAACGGGTCACTTCAGGGAGAGACAGCCCTGGGTGCGAAGCAGCAGGCACCTCGCGGGCAGGGCCCACGACAGCCTGTGTCAGGCTGTACGGAGACACAGGTGGCAGCCAAAGTCCAGCCTGAGGAGGAGCTGGACGGCGCCCGGGCAGCGTGGAGCTACAGGGCAGCGGAGCGAAAGACCAGGCTGAGCCTGGAGCAGCCTGCCTCTGGCGGAGCGCTAGGAGGAGGCCAGCGGCAGGGAGGGCTGGAGCCCCGCTGCCAGGCGGGGATTCTGACCCCACAGGCCTCACTCAGAGCACCAGTCAAGGAGGAGACGGGCTCGGATCACGTGAGCAAGGCCCGGGTGCTCCAGGAGTGTCCCTCCGCCCCTCCTCCTCTGTGCTCCAGGGTACTTCAGAAAGTTCGTGGGAAATGGAAGTGAAAAGATTTGGGCACAAAACAATTCTTAAACCCATGCATAGCTTTTTCATAATATGCATTTTTATGAATGCTTTGAAGATCCTTCATATGAAAAAAAAATTTTTATTTTTTTTGGATAGGCAGAGTGGACAATGAGAGACAGAGAAAGGTCTTCCTTTTGTCGTTGGTTCACCCTCCAATGGCCGCCGCGGCCGCCACACCGTGCTGATCCGATGGCAGGAGCCAGGTGCTTCTCCTGGTCTCCCATGGGGTGCAGGGCCCAAGCACTTGGGCCATCCTCCACTGCACTCCCTGGCCACAGGAGAGAGCTGGCCTGGAAGAGGGGCAACCAGGGCAGAATCCGGTGCCCCGACCGGGACTAGAACCCGGTGTGCCGGCGCCGCAAGGCGGAGGATTAGCCTATTGAGCCACGGCGCCAGCCACAAAAAATTTTTGCACCAAAAAGAAACTGACCTTTTAATTCCATTTGCCGTGAACTTTCTGAAGCAGCTTGACCAGGGAGGTGCACGGACAGTACCAGCTTCGCTCCCATCTGCAGTGCGACTACGAACCACCGCAGCCTTGTGTGCAAAGTCTGAGGCCCTGGGCCGGCAGTAGGAGACGGTGAGCTCCAGCGAGCCACGGGGAGCCATGGGCGAGCCAGCAATGTGACGCGGCAGCAAGAAGCACGAGCTAAAGCCCCTGGCCTCCTGCGCCCCGCACAGCGGAGGCCCACCTACCTCACCTGGGAGACGGTGGCCCAGCGAGGATTCAGGCCTGCTCTCCGCAGGTGACATAAAGGGACACGCCCGGCCTCTGCAGGGCACCTGGCGCCTGGAAGGGCCGCGCACAAACCCTGGAGGAGGAATGCCCAGCTGCACGCGACCCCATGGGTCTGGGGGCCTCAGAGAGAGGCCCTGCACTCTCCCCCAGCCCATCAGGAAGCGTGCCCACAGGAGCTGCCTCTGAAAGAGCCAGCAGGCAGACAACGCTTTTAAATAAAGACAGGAAAAAAATGCACAGGCAGCCGTTTCCACGGGTGACAGCCTGGAACCCCCACAGCAGAGTTCTTACTCACGCCTCCAGGAAACTCAGCACGCACTCGCTCACGTTATTCAATACCAAGTCTTCTTTGTTACAGGTTTTGAGGACGCACTTCGCAGAGATGCAATGGCAAGCGGAGCCAGGATCCCAGGGCCGACAACGGGCAGCTGAAGCCCTGGGCACTGCCAGTGCCCCGGCTGGCGTTCCAGCCTGCCTCCTTCCCAAGTTCCCACACACCAGGACGCCCATCGGCGGTGGCAAGGGGCTCTTCCCGCCACGCTTCCTCCTGTGCTCCCTGCCTTTTCCAAGGCGGGGATCCCACACCGCAGTTCAGTCCACTCAAACCGGGCTGCAGGGGAACCTGGAGTCCAGCGGGCCACGCGGGGTGGCCAGCGCTTCCCGACCCCTCCGCGTCACTTCCGGCTGTCTTGTTGCTGCTGGTGTTTAGCTAAAATGAGTCATGGTTTATAGATCTTTCTCCTCTGCCCAAAATGCAAGTTCTCTCTTTCCCCTGAAGAGAACGGTATTTAAACAAACATGGCTGGGCCGCTTCGACATTCATCTTCTTGGAACACCCCACGCTGGAGACAGCGGAAGGCGTGTTAGTGGAATTACCGTCCTGACGTGGTTTGAACCTACTGAGGCAGTAGGCTGTATTTCAGCACGAAAGCCGCCCTGAGGACAAGCGCCAGTTGGCGGAGTGGCCCCTTTTACAAAGCCTGCCTCTACCGCGGAGCCCATCTCGCCTGCAAGTCACGATCCGTGTTGCAATCTCCTGTATCTGAAACAATCAAATCATTCACGCTGCGCAGCTGAGGCCGAGGACAGCGTCAGAATCCGCGCTTTGAGAGAGAACAACAGGCAACACCTGACCCAGTCCCTGCATCCGCCGGTGCCGACGCTCACCCCTCCCGCACGGCCGGCCCCTCGCACCACGACGCTCCCACTCTCCAGCGGCGACCGCACGTCACGGACATGCCAGAGCGCGACTCTAGTCATCCACGCAGGCCGTCACGGCCGCCTTCACGGACCGCAGGGCGAACAGTAGCCTCAAAGGCCCGCGCCGGCTGCTGCTCCTTCCCGCGGAGCTGGCGCATCTCGGCCCCTCCCACCGCGCCGCCCCTGCGCCCTCCCCATCTTCGCACCTGAGCAGAGAGAGAAACGAGTGCTGTGCTCTTTTCCACAGCTGTGAGCGGGAGTAACGCGACGTCTCTCACCGCACAGGCAGGGCAGGCTCGGCTAACGGCTCAAGGCTGTCCTCGCCCACCTACTATAAATCCATGCCATAAAATGCTATTTTTTTTTAACTTCTATTTTCTACCAAGTGTAATAACGTTTCTTTGAAATCCTGAAACATAGCGGTTTTGGTAAACGGACACACACCGTAGAAGTTAGCTACTCTGGATCCAAAGTCACCTGAACTGTTTTTAAAAATGCCACGGTTGCACGACCAGCCACTTTTACCCTAAAAAGAAAGAGGTTTTGATTTCGATTTTAGAAAAGAACAAGTCTCCACAGCAGAGGTGAGAAAAACCCACAATGATGATTCTTCAAGATCAAAAGATGATGCATCCCTGGTTGTGGTGATCCATCCCGAACCAAGACCGAGGTCTCGGCTGGCTCGCGGGGTGACGCGGGGTGGACACTCAGCGGGGAAATCCCCGCAGAGCGGCACCGCGCTCGCGCTAGCACCTCCAGCCCGGAAGGCAGCCAGTCTGCTCGCCAACTCCCACATCAGATGTGGCCGCGACTGTGTAACGTCAACCTGCAGAGAGCTCAGCCTGCTTCAGGATCAGAGCTCCCCCTCACCCCGAATGTCTACACCCGTGACGAGTTCAGAGCTTCCCCCCAAATGTCTACACCCGTGACGAGTTCAGAGCTTCCCCCTGAATGTCTACACCCGTGACGAGTTCAGAGCTTCCCCCCGAATGTCTACACCTGGGATGAGTTGTACCGTAATCAGCTTCAACGCTTCAGATGCAACAAATCCACTCAGAGCCGCTGCAGACCCTCTCCGAGCCCCGGCTGGAAGGCGGTCATAGCTCCCGAGAGACCAGACTCGCACGGTCACACAGATCACAGCCGCTATAAACGCGAGTCCATCAGGTGCTGGCACACATGGCAGTGTGCATGAGAGGACCCCAGCAAGCACGCTGTCGTCAGCCAAGCCCACCAGAGACCTCGACACCCCGATGATGAGTCTCCCAGTTCGCCCCTGGGCCTGGGAGCTGCTACTCCCTTCACCCGCCGCGCCCTGCGCCCTGCGCCCCGCGCCCTGCCCACGGCCACCCGGCAGTGTGGCTCCGCTCAGCCCTCTCGGCCCCGCAGTGGCATCTCACGGAGAGGGCCTCTTTGTGTCTGCCAGGCAGAAAGCCTAGCTCCCGGGGCCCCGCGTGGGCTCCTCGGCCCGCCGGCCCCTCCCCGCGCGGCTCGCGGCGCCCGTGTCCCCGGGCAGCCCGCCCCCGTGCTCTCCGGAGCCGCCCGTTCCGATGCGGTCCTCGGCGCAGCCCTTGTCACTGAGGCTGTCCGCTCCGGTCCGGCCTCTCCCGCGGGGCTCAGCAGCCTCCATCCCCGGCGCCCGAGCAGGTGCGCGGCCCGCGACGCGGCAGCCGGCTCACAGCCCCGGGCACCGGGCGCGCGCGGAGACCACGGCGGGAGGAAACGCGGGGAGCGAGCGCGCAGTAGCCCCGTCCCCAGCGAGACAAAGGAAGGGCGTCCGGGGTGGTCCGGGCCAGAAGAGGAAGCCGCAGGGGGGCCAGTCAACCCCCGGGGCGGGGCGGGGCGCCCACCGGCGGCCTCCGCGCAGAGGCGGCCGCGCCGGGGCAGGGGGCGGGTGGCGGACCCGAACGGGCTGCGCGGCCCACCCGGGGCGCACAAAGAGAGCGGGGCGGGGGGCGGCCCGCGCCGCCGCCGGCTCGAGTCCCCCAGCCCCGGAGCGAGAACGGGGCCCGGGCGCCCGCGGGGAAGGCTCACGCGGCCCCGGCGAAGGGCCTGCGCGCGCCGGGGTGCTCCCGAACCTGGTAAATGGCCGCCCAGCTCCCGGCCTTGTCGATCTGCTCGAACTCCTTTTCCATCTCCATGACGGGCCAGGGCGGCCGCTGCGCCTCCGCCGCCGCCCGCTGCGCCGTCTGCCGCTCTAGGCCGCGTCGCGCTCCTCGCCCCGAGGCCCGCCGTACCCCGCAACGCCCGCCGCTACCGCCGCCCTAGCCGCCGCCGCCGCCGCTGCTTCTTCATGTCAACCCGGCAGCCGGAAGTACGCACAGCGCCTGCCGCCGACTCCGCCTCCGCAGCGAAAGGAGCAATCAGCGCCCGAGAATGTCGGCCAGCACTTCCGCGGGGCGGGTCCGGGGGCGGGGCTCCGGGGACGTCCGGCAGGGAACGCCCTCCTCCCGCGCGAGGCTCGGGGCTGGGGCGTGGCGCGCGCGCGTTGCCTCGGTGACCGCGGGGTCCCGCGAGGTGCGGGCGGAGCTGGGGCTGCCGCGGCGGCGAGGCGCGCGCGGTGAGTCAGAGTGGGGCCTGGGAGTCGTCCCGCGTCTGCCCTTCAGTGCGTGTGCCGGGGGCTGGGCTCTGGCCGATGGCCGCCCCGGCTGCTGGCGAGGGCCCGGCCCTCGAGCGGTAGTGTCCCTGGCCGAGACGCGAGGAGTGGGCGGGTGGGCGTGGGAAATCCCGCGGGCCGCGTGGTGGACAGTGCAGCCCGGCTGACCAGGGTACCCGTTCCTGGAAACAGCGGGAAAGGCTGGCCGACTGGCCGCTTGGCCACATCCAGGCCTGGCTTTGTCACGGGGACATTGTGAGGGCCACGGGCTGGGGGGGAGCCAAGCTGGAGGGCCCGTCCTCTGACCCCTGTGCCCACGGCCAGCCCGTGCTGCCTGGCGCTGTCGGTTGAATTCCAGCTCATTCCTTGGGCGCCTGGGGCAGGCGCTGGGCCTGGTGTCCCGAGGACGCGCTCGGGTCATCTGCGCGCGCACCCCCTGGAGTAGGCACTGCCAGCTCCAGTTCTGGGGAGACGGAGGCGCCGGGAGGGAGAACCACCCGTCCGGAGCAGCACTGGATTCCCGCGTGCGTTGGGGCGGGCTGCCTGGGTCCAAATTCCACCTGGGCCACAGCCTGGGGGAGCCGCAGGTGACCGTGCATCTGCGCCCTCCAGGCCCTCGATGGGTGATGTGCTAAAAACCAAGACTGGGGTACAGAATGCTGTTGGCCTAGCGGGGAGCCCAGGAGCTCAGCCCAACAGCAGCAGGCGGGCAGGTGGACGGATTCACCTGCATCTGCATTGCTGGGCTCTCTGGAGGCCTCTCTTGAAGCCGAGGGCCCCACAGGGAGAGTGGAACAGAGGCACTGGTCCAGGCGAGAGCGGCCTCATTTACCTCCTGGCCCCGGGAAGGCCGTGGGCTGCTCCTGCCCCTTCCGTTCGCGAGTGCCGGTTTGTCTGGGACTCACCGCGATGAGAGCGCGGGCGGACAGAGAACAGACCTGGTTCAGTCCTGTCGCCGTCGTACGCAGAGCTGATGGGTAAATAGATCAAGGGCCCGTCCTGAGCCCCAGCGGCCCTCACGCCTGCAGGGTGACCGGCTCCGCCTTTGGGGCCACAGCTGGTCACGGTAGAGGCTGCTGTCATCAACTACTGCCGATTCCGGGGCTTCAGTTGGCAGAGTGCATCCTCTCGCAGTGCTGTAGGCCAAAAGGTGGGAGTTAGGGTGTCCACGGGGCGCCAGCCGCGTGGGGGCAACTCCTCCGGCCCGGCGCCGCCGGCTCCGCCTGTCTGCTAGCTCTGCCTCACGCCGACAAGGACACCTGCCGTTGTGGGGGCCACCCTAATCCAGAACGGGCGATCCCAGGGCGCCCGGATGATCTCAGCTTGAGATCATGAAGTTAACTGTACCTGCAAAGACTTCTCACCCAGGCACTGGGTGTTAGGACTTGGCCGTCCCCTCGGTGGGGCCCCCGTGCAGCCCACACAGGGGCAGGGGAGGAAGTTCCCAACTTCGAGCACCAGCTAATGCCCCGCGCATTCACTCTTCACCTGACGGCAGCCAGAGATGTTAATATGTGGACCATGATTCCTCCTTTGCAAAACTCAAGTTTCCCATTCCAGTTAGAATAGAACCTAAATAATTCCTAACCCTGGCCCACAAGACCCACCTGACCTGGCCACTGCCAAGCTCTCTCACCCTTGCTTGCTTTGTTCTGGTCGCATGCCCACCCCCTAACACACCAAGCTAGTTTCTACCCCAGGACCTTTGCACCAGCAACTGCTTCTGACGCATCGCTCTTGTAACTTCTCACACACTTCAGATCTCGGGTCAGAGGTCACCACTGTCTCTAAAACAGCCCCCAGACACTCTGCACCCCAGAACTTGTTTATGTCATAGCACTCATCATTGTCTTTTTAAAAAAAAATTATTGGAGCTGGCACTGTGCAGAGCGGGTTAACACCCTCACCTGAAGTGCCGGCATCCCACATGGCGCCACTTCGAGTCCCGGCTGCTCCACTTCCAATCCAGCTCCCTGCTGTGGCCTGGGAAAGCAGTGGAGGATGGCCCAAGTCCTTGGGCCCCTGCACCCACGTGGGAGACCCGGAAGCTCCTGGCTCCTGGCTTCGGATGGGCACAGCTCCGGCCATTGCAGCCATTTGGGGAGTGAACCAGCAGGTGGAAGACCTCTCTCTCTCTCTCTCTCTCTCTCTCTGCCTCTCCTCTCTCTGTGTAACTCTGACTTTTAAGTAAATAAATAAATCTTTTGAAAAATTTATTAATTTGAAAGAGTGACAGATCTTCCATCTGCTGGTTCACTCCCTAAGTGGCCACGATGGCCAGGGCTGGGCCAGTCTGAGGTCAGCAGCCTGGAGCTCCAGCTGAGTCTCCCACATGGTTGGCAGGGACCCAAGCCCTTGGGCCATCTTCTTCTGCTTCCCCAGTCACGTTAGCGGGGAACTGGGTTGGACGAGGAGCAGCCAGGACTCGAACCAGAGCTCTGATATGGGTGCAGTTGTCACAGGCGGCAGTGAAACCCACTGTGCCGCGAGCCGGCCTGTGTCTCGTTTTTAGTGCTGGCTGATTTTCTACCCCACCCCATAAGGTTCTGTGAGGATGGGGACCTCAACCTCTTTTATAAATTTTTATTTTTTTAATAAAGATTTTATTTGTGAGGGGGAGAGACAGAGAGGTCTTCCGTCCGCTGGTTCATTCCCCAGTCGGCCACAACGGCCCAAGCCGGGTTGATCCAAAGCCAGGAGCTTCCTCTGGGTCTCCCACATGGGTGCAGGGGCCCAAGGACTTGGGCCATCTTCACTGCTTTCCCAGGCCACAGCAGAGAGCTGGATGGAAAGAGGAGCAGCTGGGGCTAGAACCGGCGCCCACAGGGGATGCCAGCGCTGCAGGCGGCGGCTTAGCCCACTGTTGCACAGCGGCGGCCCCCGTTTTCACTTCATTTCAGAGCCAGATCTTCCATCCACCAGTTTGCCCCCAGACGCTCGCGACAGCTGGGACTGGGCCAGGCTGAAGCCCGGAAGGAGCAGCTCATGTGGCTCTGTCAGGTGGGAGGTGGGGGCAGGTGCACGTTGGCAGGGAGCTGGATCAGGAGCGGGGGCTGGGACTTGACGTAGCCGCTCTGCTGTGGGATGTCCCGGCCAGCGTCCTGCGCTCAGCCTTTTGCCTGTGTCCCGTCCCCGGGTGCTGGCTGAGGAGGGGGGAGCGCAGGAGCCGGAGCGCGTGAGGCTGGGGCCCGGCTCTGCCTGCGGAGTCCTGCTGTTCCCGTCGAGGCCTGGGCCTGGACGGCGGGGGCTGGGAATCAGTAAGGACCAGCAAGAAATGAGCGGATGCCCACATGTCGCGATGGCTGAAGCCCTCCTGGCAGGCTTCTCTGGCCTCTCCTGCGTGGACTTAGCTAATGGAGGAAGTCGGTACTACAGATCAATGGCCCATTAAACTTTGAAAAATGTCCTAAGGGTTGCCAGTGGAGGGGCAGCTGGTTACCTCACCTGTAGCGGGTCACTGGCTCCCAGCGTGGTGACGTGGGCAGGTTTCCTGGTGAGTTCCCTCACGGTCTTTCTCCCAGGAGGTAGCACAGGACCCAGGTGAGCCTAAACTGGGTCTCTGATGAAATGTCGCCTCCTCCGAGAAGCCCCCGGGGAGCCCTCCTCGTCCACGGCGCCCCTTCTCAGCGCTCACCAGGCCCTGGATGGCTTGTATTCTCCCCATGTCGCCAGGAGGTGTCGTGTTGTGCGTGCTTTGTCTCCTGGCTCTGCACTGAACGTCAGCTCCGTGAAGGGACTAAGTTGGCTTGGTTCGAGAGCAGGTTGTTCCAGGAGAGCCCACCTCGGAAGGTTCCAGAAACTGAGGTGGCAGGGCTCCTCCTCAGCTCCTGGACTCAGAGCTCCCTCTGTCCCTCACCGCACCCCTGGGAACCCAGAGCCAGGAAGGGAGGCGGCCCTTCCTGCTGAGATTGGCACGTGAGCCCCTCCCCCCCGGAGTTTGGGCACCAGGACATCCCTGGGGTGGAATCCCTACCAGGGCAGTGCCGAGGCCCAGAGCGCTTGGAACCGGATGCACAGAGCTTCACCCTGTAGCCCTGCGAGCCTGGTGCTGCCCCCAGTTTACAGATGAGCAGCCGGAGGTGCGGCCAGTGAGCGCTGCAGCCCAGCGGGCGGAGCGGCTGAGCCCGGCTCCGTGCTGGCCAGCGTCAGGCCGGGCAGTCGCCTCATCTGCTGGTGGCAGCCTGGACGCTTTCCAGCGAGGAAGAGCTGGCTGAAAGCGGTTTTCGCGAATCGGGGATGTACCAGCTTGTGAAAGTGGGGAGTCCTGAGGGGGCTCAGTGAAGACTCGGCCGAGTCCGGGAGCTCAGGCAGCGGCAGGGGGACCGGGACTCCCCCACCCAGCTCACAGCCTGGCTGCCCAGCCGCCCCAGCGGGAGGAGCCGTGTCCCCGCTGGGCCCAGCACATGGCTGGGTCTTGGGCCTCATTGGTCCAGTTCAGGCCCACCTGCCGTCTCTAAGCCAGAATGTGTCCAGGGGAGAATTAGACCAATGAAGAAACTGAGCTTAGGAGGGGTGAGTTACTGAACCGCAGCCCAGTGAGGGGAGACTCAGGTCTAGGTACCGGCGTGTGGGCTCAGCGCCCACGAGCTCCGAAAGCGGCAGGAGGCTGCCGTGGCCTCGGCATCGTGGAGCACTTGATAGACGTGTTGTTCTGACTCCTGTTAGCGCAGCGGAGGGCAGAGGCGAGGCGCGTGCCCACCCTCACAGAGGGCAGAGACGGGGAGCGGGCAGAGGCGAGGCGCGTGCCCACGCTCACGGAGGGCAGAGGCGGGGAGCGGGCAGAGGCGAGGCGCGTGCCCACGCTCACGGAGGGCAGAGACGGGGAGCGGGCAGAGGCGAGGCCGCGTGCCCACGCTCACGGAGGGCAGAGACGGGGAGCGGGCAGAGGCGAGGCCGCGTGCCCACGCTCACGGAGGGCAGAGACGGGGAGCGGGCAGAGGCGAGGCCGCGTGCCCACGCTCACGGAGGGCAGAGGCGGGGAGCGGGCAGAGGCGAGGCGCGTGCCCACGCTCACGGAGGGCAGAGGCGGGGAGCGGGCAGAGGCGAGGCGCGTGCCCACGCTCACGGAGGGCAGAGGCGGGGAGCG